CCTAGGTAACCCATTCCAGTGCTTCACCACCCTCCTAGGGAAATAGTTTTTCCTAATATCCAACCTGGACCTCCCCCACTGTAACTTGAGACCATTGCTCCTTGTTCTGCCACCCAGTCACTGCTGTGAACAGCCTCTCTCCATCCTCTTTGGAACCTCCCTTCAGAAAATTGAAGGCTGCTATCAAATCCCCCCTCACTCTTCTCTTCTGCAGACTAAACAAACCCAGACCTCTCAGTCACTCCTCATAGGTCATGTGCTCCAGCCCCCTAATCATTCATGTCCCCAGCCTTGCAGGAGTAAAGCCAAAGCCATTTAGGGAGGAGGGCTCCTCCTGGCAGGGGCTGTGCACTGGCTGCCCGATGAGCTGAGTAGCAGGCACTGTACATGCCAGATAGGAGATGGGCAGAGCCCAGCCATGAATTGCAGGGCAACGGCAGGCGGACAGTGGAGGACAGCCACAACCTGAAGTGTGTCCGCACTGTGGGAACTCCACTCAGCCACTTGCCGTGCTCTGCCCCTTTGGGTTACAGCACGTCTGGGCCAAGCCACACTGTGCTGCCTGGGACAAAGCTCCAGTCCTTGCCTGCAAGCCCAGCAGTCTGCTACTGCCATTGCACAAGACTCAGCACCCTGCCTGGGCTCGCTTCAGCTGAGCAGCGAGCCCAGTCACACTTGCTCGGCTGCCAGAGCCTCCTCCCAGGTGCTAATGGGCCATGGCTGAACTCCCCGAGCACTGAGCCTGGCCAGAGGCACTGCTCCTGTCTACCCAGCCCACATGGAGCCCTGACAGCAGGCAACCCAGCCCAGGGCTCCAAACAGCACCACTGATGACATCAGCCCCGCTTAGCATGGGAGACCCACCCATGGAATGCCACCAGGGTGGTGAGCCCCAATCTTCCCCAGGCTTTGGTCCTTTGCTCTTGGCCAAACGCCGAGGAGCCCTGACCACTTCCCAGCCTACCATGTGTGAGCAGTGCTACTGGGAGAGTGGTGCCAGCCTGGCATGTGGGACAGACAGAGAGCAGAGCCGTGACTGAGCCATCCCCAGAGTAGCTGGCTTGTCCCAGGCTTTCACTTTCCACACCATACTGAGCACATGGGGAGGGGAAGGAATGCAGGTAGAGTAGCCGAGGACTTGACTCAACTACTTGCTTACATCCCTATGCAGCATCATAGCTCATGGTATTTCTGTTGCTGTGCAGGCCACTGGGGACCACTTCCTTCTGCACCCACACATGAAACAAGTGTAAAGAACATTGACCTGTACTACAAGTAGGGTTCCCACCTGCTCTGAACTGGGGGGAGGGGTACCAAACTTACTGCTTTGATCCCATGGGAAGTTTGATTATTTTGGTCCTAATATAAACTCAAAGCCCTCCACAGAACTGACTCAGGTTACTGGAGGAACCATCCCTTTCTGTGTGTGGCTGTGACTAGCCTCAATTGTTATGTAAAGGAGAGACTTACTTGTAAGGATAAGGAGCAGTGCCTTCTCAGCTGCTGGCCCAGGAGGTGAAACTCTGTCCTGGACCCAGAGTGTTCATGTATTTCACTGCCTGGAAAACAGCTTTTAAAAAGTTTAAATTACCTCTTTTTTCTCCCACATAAAAACACACCAAGGAGAAAAACTTAACATATCGCTACCCACCCCCCAAAAAAGAAGGCTGCCCGGTATCATAGTGATGAGCAGAGTATAAAAACCTCAGTTCAGTGTGGCAGAAACCTGTCCTCGGTATCATTTGGCTTTCATTAGCACCTGTCCTTTAGGAATATTAAAGTACTGTACAGATATTTATGGATTGTTTCTCACATCACTGCTATACAGCATTATCATCATCCTATGAGTAGGGAACCTGAGAGAACAGAAGTTGCTGCATGAGACTACAATAGGATGGTGGTGCAGCTGGGAACAGAACAGTTTCCTTACTTCCAGGCCTGTTCTATAGTCACAAAGCTATTCTCCTCTTTGCCCAGTATTAGCAACTTCTTTTCTATTTAGCATGTAATTGTCAGTGTCTTTGTAAAATGAAAACTGCCTGTGTTTTCAGCTGCTCTCTGCAGGCGGGAAGCCCCTCTAGGGCCAATGCCTAATGAAGACATAGATGTCAGCAACTTGGAGGCATTGGAGAAATACCGCAGCTTTACTCGCTATTTCAAAGTGGCTGAAAAGGAGAGTAAGAAGACTCATTGGTGGCAAACATACAGAAAGCATATCACACCAGTGCAAGGTATGCAAGAGGAAGAAGATAAGTTACTTTTGTGTTCTTTTGCGGGAGGGAAAGGGTATGTAGACTAGTATGCATGTAGCACCAAAATATGGGGGTTTGATCAAATACTTATGTGAGTGTTTACTGCTGTAGAAGTTTGCAAAGATTTTTTTTCCCCTTAAAGGAAAGGGCTTCTTGATGCAATTCTATCTTTGGCTTCTTTTGACTCAAAGATCAGGGAGGAGAGTAAGGAAGCTATTTCCTAGGGCCCCTGTAATACAAAGGAAAATGAAGCAACAGGGCTCGTTTTGAAGCTTGCAGGTTTTTAGTGTCTAATGATGTATTTATTTCAATTCATGAAATGGCTGGTGAGCACCCATCCTATACTTGCAGGCCCAGATCCTCAAAAGTAGTAGCCTAAAGGCCCATGGGCCTTTCCACCACCTAGTTTTAACTTAGCTAGATAATAAGCTGTGTTTCGCACCTAGAAGTAAATGTCTACCTACAAACATTGCAAACTCAAAATTCCCTTCTTCTAAAAGTTATAACCTCTCCGAACCTTTCTAACCCATCCCACTCCAGCCCCTCCTAAATGCTCAAGTGTGAAGTCCTCTGCAAAGGACATCTGACTTCTTATTCTCATTCCCTAAAAATGAATGAAAGCAATAACCTTACTAGACAAAGATTAGGACCTGTTTCTATATAATGCCACGTGAAGTGAAAGACACATCCAGCTGTCCTTTATAAGGAGGCAATATTATAAGCTAGATATCGTTTAAGTTCTGTCCATGTGCTTAGCATGGTATAAACATAAAGGAAGATGTAGTCCCAAAATGTAGTCTAAATTAGACCCGTAATACAGTTTAGGTGATTGTAAAGCAAGGAGTGGAAATATCTATGAGGGTGTCTGAACTTGTTTAACAGGCTTGATACTAATTCAAGCAAAACACAGATCCAAATGAGCTTCAGTGAGAGTATGAAGTACCTTTAATCCTTAGATGTCTCCAGATCTTTTACAAAGCATCGTTAGATACTGGGGTTGTAATGGCAGCATAGACAAACAGCGGCCAATGTGCACACACCAGGCTCTCATATACACTTGACCATCACAATCAGTTGTACTAAGAAGGTTTGGCTAACGTTCCCTTGAGTTATTCCCAACGTGCTTTCTGGGAATCGTCTACCGAAGACTGGCAGAAGGGACCGTGTTTCCTGTCCCACTTGAAGGAGGGCATCTGTAACAGACAGTTACAGCTGCAGTCATATCTCTGACAACACTAAATGTTTCAGTGATATCAGAGTGTCTCGTTAGTCAGGCAGTGAGGTTATATGATGTGGACAAAATACTGTCCCATTCTTGTTATGAGTTCCATGAAGGCACAGGGGTCTGCACAAAGTTTATTGCAGGATTGGGGCCTAGGCCCGCAATTCAGCGGTTTGTTTGTATCTCTCAGGCATTTTTGGTTTGTCTGTTACAGTTGCCCATGGCTGTTGGACAGAGAGACGCGAATAGGGCTTATTTTAAGTTCTCACTTGCATGATTTTGACCCTAGATGAAGAGGCAAAGATAGACATTGGCCTGCCTCGCTATGGACAGCCATGGGCAAAGAAACTGAAAGAGAGAAAAGAAATACTGAAACACAACCACCAGAATGCGGAAATGGAAAAAGCATCCCGCCTCAGGACACGTACGTACCCTGCAGTTTGTTTCCTCCTCTTCTGTATCAGTGGTGGCTTAGACAGTTGCTCCATGTCTCACAACTCTTATTTGCAATTGCAGTGGTGATTCCACTTGACGAAGTCAAAGCCGAGTGGGAGAAAACCAGTGGCCCGTTGCACAAGCAGCGTATTGCTGAGCACTATGGGATATACCGCGATATGTTTGATGAAGCCACATTCGTCCCCAGAGTGGTGCTGCGGGTAGAATACAGTCTAGGTGATGAGTATGTCATGCCCGTATATCATGGGAACTTTGTGACACCCACCGAGGTATCTTAAAATTGATCACTAGGCAGAATATTAAGTGTGCCCAAATTAGTCTGAAGCCACATACGGCTTAGCTGACCTGACAGCACAGTCACTTACAGTAACAGGAATGTTCTTTTGAAAGGAATTAATCTAAAATCATGTGCTTCTAATTAAGTTAAGGAAACAGCATTTAGGTAGGATTCATTTTCAAATGAAATGGCAAACTTGCTTTTAATAAGCTTCAGAGGGGTAGCCGAATTAGTATGTAACTGGAAAAAATTAAACAACGAATAGTCTTGCAGAACCTTAGAAACTAACAAAACATGTAGATGGTATCACAAGCTTTCGTGGGCAAAACCCACTTTTGCTTTTAATAAATCTCCATTGCTTTTCATGATGGAAATTGATTTGCTTGTGGCAAAGCTAGATTTGATTTGTTCTGTCAGGGCTGCTTTTATTGTACAGCCAGGTTATGTCCAAGTGACTAATTTAATTCTCTGTTTTTGAAAGTGCATACTGTTAATACAAACAATGCTATGGAGCTTTTACCTAAGATTCTTACATTCACATTGTGTATTTAGGCTTCCAATCCCCCAGAAGTGATGTATGAGGCAGATGAAGGTTCTCTTTGGACTCTGCTGCTCACAAATCTGGGTGTGTATCAAGACTTTTTAGAATTGCATTAAACTGGCTGCTTCTGCCCTCTTCTGTTATTTCCTTGGGCTACGTAACCTGAGAGATGCAGTGGATGCATTATTCTGTAAGGATTTCTTTGTAACCTGAGAGATGCAGTGGGTTAGTCATTCTGTAGGGATTTCTCAGCCATACCTGCAGAATTACTCCAGAAACTGCAGACAGAGGGGTTAGAAAGAACCGTTTGGAGAAGGTGGATGAAGGAATAGCAAATACGCTGCTCCTCTGGCTGCCTTGGGATTACTAATTTTGCAAAACACAATACGAATGCTAATTGGTGTCACAATATTCTTTACATACACTGAAGCATTCAGACCTGCAAAATCTGTGATGGTAGCAGTACTGTGCTCATTTTACAGGTGGAGAAAGAGAGTGGTGAAATGATTTGCCCAGTGACTAATGTACTAGAAGGGAAACCAAGAAAAGAAAGCTGGTTTCCTGATTCCTGATCTTGTTTAACCACAAAAACGCCCTTCTATGTGCATGTCCTAGACAGAGCTTTATGTTTCCAACATGCTCTTACAAGCATTAACTGCTTCCTACAATGCGCTTGTGCAGTCGGTTGGTCAGAATCTTTGTCTACATTTTATAGATTAGGGAACTGAGGTGCCCCAAAATTAAGTGACTTACCCAATCTCATGTTGTAAATTGTCGTCAACAGAGAGATTGGAACTCGGGGGTTACTGTGGGGGTGGGCAATTATTTTTTATGGGGGGCCACTACAAGAATTTGGATGCCATTATCACTCTACCATGATATTGATGGAGGAGATGCGGGGTCTGGGATGGAGGTTGGGTGCAGAAGGGACCTTGGGGTAAGGGAGGCAGTTGTGACCTGGGGCACTGGATTGGGGTGCAGGAGTTTGGCATACAGGAGAGTGTGCTGGGATTTAGGTTGTGAGCTAGAGCAGGAGGAGACTGATCTGGCGCAGGGGATGTGGGTACAGGAGGGGGGCGGAGGATTTGGGTATGTGGGGTGGGGGGCAGAGGATTGGGGAAGGGAGGGACTGGGGTGCCAGAGGCAGGTCCTGGCCAGATTTACCAGCCAGCAACTGTTCCTGAATCAGCCTCCCTGACTGCTAGTGTTCCCTCTAAACTGCTCTGCAGCACAGCTTCACCATGATTAATCAGCCCCACCCAGTCAGTCAGCTTTATGCATGGAATCCTGAGCCTCTGACTGTGCTGCTGCCCAGCTTAGAGGGAACACTGCTTGCCCTGCCCCCGCACAGGCTGCAGCCATGTGCTCTGGAGCCCCTTGTGCTTCCTGGCTCCCGGCTATTGAAACAGGCAGCTCCCATTGGCTGGTTTTTGGGATTGTACTGGGGAAAGGAGTAGCTCCTAAAGCTCCAATGGGATTGTACTGGGGAAAGGAGTAGCTCCTAAAGCTCCAATGGGATTGTACTGGGGAAAGGAGTAGCTCCTAAAGCTCCAATGGGATTGTACTGGGGAAAGGAGTAGCTCCTAAAGCTCCAATGGGATTGTACTGGGGAAAGGAGTAGCTCCTAAAGCTCCAATGGGATTGTACTGGGGAAAGGAGTAGCTCCTAAAGCTCCAATGGGATTGTACTGGGGAAAGGAGTAGCTCCTAAAGCTCCAATGGGATTGTACTGGGGAAAGGAGTAGCTCCTAAAGCTCCAATGGGATTGTACTGGGGAAAGGAGTAGCTCCTAAAGCTCCAATGGGATTGTACTGGGGAAAGGAGTAGCTCCTAAAGCTCCAATGGGATTGTACTGGGGAAAGGAGTAGCTCCTAAAGCTCCAATGGGATTGTACTGGGGAAAGGAGTAGCTCCTAAAGCTCCAATGGGATTGTACTGGGGAAAGGAGTAGCTCCTAAAGCTCCAATGGGATTGTACTGGGGAAAGGAGTAGCTCCTAAAGCTTTCCTCCCTCCCTTCCAGACTTACAGATTTTAAAGAAAAACTGCCCTGCAGCCATGTATCTGAGCAGTGTGCTGCTGGGGCAAGGCAAGTGGGAAGCCTGCCTGAGGCTTCCGATAGCGTCCGTGAGCCGGATCTGGTGGCTTGGCGGGCCAGATGCGGCCCGTGGACTGTATGTTGCCCAGACCTGGGTTACAAGCTCCAAGTCTTGAATGTCATCCTTTGAGGACTTGTTTCGCTGTTTTTCTGAAATGATAGGATTGGTAGAGAGCAGCTGAGCGGTCTGGAGGCATTACCCTCTTTTCCTGTTGGACATAGGGAATTCTGACTTTGGAACAGATCCTGTTCATATAGCAGCAGGCAAATACATGTACTTGTCATTAAGATGTGTGTTTCTCTGTGTGTGTGCACAGATGGACACCTGCGAGACGCTGATTCCGAGTATGTCCACTGGCTGGTGTGAGTATTGCAAACCAATACATCTGAGCAATGCATGTGTTTCAGGGATGGCAGCCCTGGCCTAATAAGTCCTGTGAGAGGAAAAATGGTCAAAGAAGTGGGGAAAGAACTGAGCAGAGATTTGAATTGTAGTTGTCATGAAGACAATTACTGGGCTTTTCCATGATCATCTGGCCTGTGTAGTGCTGGTCAGACTCTGCACAGACTCTGTTTAGTGGAACATTGCTATTGCTAAAGATAGAATAGTTCTAGGAATTTGTTACTGTTTTCTGTTTGGGAGTATGCGTATGATTTTCTACTTCTGATTATGTCTGTCTTTAGAAGCGGCATGCTAGCTATGGCAGGGAATAGCCCACAGCAACACAAGGGGAGAGCATGCCACAGATCTTCCCATGCAAGACTTCAATACTGTGATTTTGATCAGAGGTGTCAAGCAAAATAAAACCAGCTACTTGGGTATAGAGGTGTAAGCAACTAGTCGACTACCCGATAAGCATAAGCTTATCGGGTAGTCAAGTCGCTACTTGACTAGTCGCTTCCCCTGCCCCTTTGCTGCCTCTGTATCAGCAATGGGGGGAGCCAGCTTAAAAGCCGGTCCCCCTCAGGACCATCTCTGCAGGGAGTGGGGGAGGCCAAGGCACAGCAGGGAAATGGCGCAAGCAGGAAGTCAAGCAGTCCCTGCTTGCGCCAGGTCCTGACTGCTGTGCCTCTGCCTTTGAAGTGTAGCAAGAGAACCCCATGGGGCTCTTGCTACATTCTAAGGCAGAAGCACCACAGCTGAGACCTGGTGTGAGTCCCCACTCGCCCTGGGTCCCCCGCTGCACCTGTGCCTTTTAAATGTAGCCATGGGCGGCTCTTACTACATTTAAAAGGCAGAGGCATAGCCAGGATTGAAAGCTAAGGAAATTCCATTGACTACTCGATTAGCTGATTAATCAAAATTATATATCCCTACTTGGGTAGTGACTGGAAAATATCTTGCACTTCACAGGACGAACATTCCAGGCAACAATATAGATTCAGGGAAGGAGATTTGCCATTACTTCCCTCCATTCCCTGCCAAGGGAACTGGCTACCACCGCTTTGTCTTCATCCTCTTCAGGCAGGACCGACCAATTGATTTCACTGAAGATGTTCGGCCGACTCCATGGTAATTTTGAATCTTGAATCCCTGCCAGGTTCTTGTGCCCGGTGCGATCGCAGCAGACAAAACTGTTTTCTTAAGAGGAAAGACCATCAACTGAACAAATCCTGTATTTCTCTGCAAACATTTTACCCACTCAGATTACTCGTAACAGTAACTGACTGTAATTGAAAAGTGATTTTCCTCTGTAGCTTCAACTTGTTTCCTTTGCACTCTGGCCAGCACTGGGTGCATAGTCAGTTTTGTTGTTTCCCTTGCTTATTTGTTCCCACTAGCCAAACAAATATATGCTGATATTACTGCTGCTACAGCCTGTCACATTTGTTTCACCCTCCTCTTGCATCTTTTCTTCAGTGAAGGCCCCAGTCCTGCAGTGGGATTAGCGTGGAAGATGCTTGCACCTCAATGGCATCCTATTGACTTTGCCAGTAGAACAGGATGTTAAGAAAATGACTTGCCATATTGAAGCGATAAGGTCAATTTATGTATGGCTGGCAAGCTTCTGCCTTGAGCTGCCTTGGGAGCTAGGCTCCGAGTAGTCATGTAGGTTTCTCCATGGGGGTCTGTTTCTTCTCCATCTCTGCAGAATCTGTGATGATGCAGGATTGTAGCTTCAGGATAGTTAACCAAGGAATAGAGAGACCTGTCCTTTTACTCCTGTCTTGTTTTCAGCCACAGTCTCAAGATGAGAACTTTCAAGACCTTTGACTTCTATAAGAAGCACCAGAACAACATGACCCCAGCCGGGTTGGCATTTTTCCAGTGCCAGTGGGATGATTCCGTTACTCATGTCTTTCACAACCATCTCAGTAAGAAACTCACTTACTAGGGATCTGGGCCAGGGAGTCACCCTTCGCTCCTCCCCCCCCCCAATCCATCCATCCAGCAGTCGAGCATTACTAAATGTGTCTTGGAGGAGACAGTCATTTGGTAGTGCCTGGGGTTGGGAAAAGAGGACAAGAAGATGGAAGCAATTTGCTTAGACGTCAGACACACCTGACTGAAATCAGCCATGGCCATGTGGGCTCTCTGATGGAGCAGATGAGGTTCCAAGAGGCATGGGCGTGTGTGAGTGGAGGGTGAATTCAAAGGCCAGTTCTGACTTGCCCCTTTGGGGACAGTTGCTCTAACTGGTTTCTATATAGCCACGTATGCCTGGCACATTAGTCTGACACTGGGAACATTTACAGCTGAGCATTAGAAGCAGTTGGCCTATCAAAGGCTGCAGTGTGTTTGTGGCCATCTTAGGGTACATAATTCTGGGGGCTTCGAATCCCATTTTGACTGGGTACTTTAAAATAACAAGGGGAGAGGACGTGGCAGAGCGAGGTTCCATTGCCAGGCACTACATGTGTGGTTTTGATCTGTAATTAATCTCACATTCTGCCCTACGAGGGACGTGGGATCTTCTGAGCAATGGAAGAGGGGATGGGGGGTGATGGTGCAGGGTTAGGTTTTGAGAGGTCTTAGCTAATGTTCAGCATTGTTCCTTTGCAGACATGAAGGAGCCAGTGTTTGAGTTTGTGCGACCCCCTGTGTATCATCCCCGTCAGAAGAAGTTTCCACACCTGCAGCCTCTGAGGTACCTGGATAGGTACAGGGACAGCCACGAGCCCACATATGGCATTTACTAAGGCGTTTCCCACCACTCCAGGAGCTCCAAGCCACTGGGTCAGGAATACTCTACCTTCTCGACGCGTGTCAAATGCCTGTGCTGACGGGAACGTTCCATGACTCTGGGAGAAGGGGGATGTGAGCTTTCACAATCACAGCATGCTGTGGTCTAAGCTCGGATTCATTGACAACACTGGAAAGAATGTAACGGAAGTTTGCCAATATTTCTGCTATTGGTCGTTACCTTGGTCAAAAGCCTTGTTAATAAAGGATATTGTGGCCATGAGAGTGTCTCCACCTCTGCTCTGATAGCCTCTGAGCCAGATGCAAATGTTGCTGACCAGCCCAGTGCCCTCCAAAGGCACTGTATCTCACTGCAGGAGCCAGAACTCTAAGCATAGATAGCTGGAGGTGGGCCAAGACCCATCAGTTCAGGTCATGTATCCACACAGAGAGAAAAATACTTTTATCTAAATCCAGCCCCGTGATCTGTACAGCCCGGAAGAAGGGGAACTGCCCATTTGGTGCATTTCTTTCTTCCCCACCATGAAATTCCCAGTTCTGGGATTCTGGGCAGCATCCTGCATATTCTGTACAGATATTTTAACAATCTATAAAACACTTTCCAAATGAAGCTGATGATGTGAGTCGCTGACAGCTTGGGGAACCCACAGGCAATGTTCCCGCTAATTTTTTCCATTCTTGTGTGGAATACGTTTTATGTACACCAAGGCATATGTGGATGTGCACCACCATTAGCAGAGCACCCACAGCATGTGTTTCTAATCAGCTGGGCAGCAGTTGCATCTCTCCTGGGCAACTACCCAAGTGCTCAGCTTACAGGCAACTAATGCAGCAATTCAAAATGTATTACGCTCTATGTGCTTCAGGACTGATGCGATCAATGCTTTACGCTGATTTGATACTGCACTCCTGCACCCCTGTTGGTCATTGCCAGACAAGAGGAAATGCAGGGTTCTGATATAGACATCAGACTAGGCTGACTAGTCTGCCTACATTTTGAGAATGAGTATTAAGGGGACTGGGCTCTACCCTGAAATTAAGAGAACATGCAAAGCCCAGGTGTGTCCAAACCCACCACTTCTCCAGGCCATCAACAAGGTCTGGGTGTTGTTCTTAGAGATAGGTCAAAATCAGAACTCAGTCTGGGTCATGGCTGAGACATGTTGGAAAGTCACTGAGTGCGGGACGCTTTCAGCAGAGGCAACAGTGCATCTGCTGTGTAGATATATGGTGCCCACCAATTTCCACAGCTCTGACCCTAGTACCTATCACTAGCCTTAAAATTGGCCCCCATTAGATTTGTTGGCTGCCCAAAGCGGCAGTAAGGAATCCCAGGGCAGCTGACTGGCCTGCAGTTGCTTCATCCATCGCTGTGTCACTGAGGATGCATGTAGAAGCATCAACACCCTACCTACGCCAGGACTCCAGGGCTATGTCTACACTCCTGGCTTCTTGTGCAAGTACGGCCGTTCTTGCACGAGAATCCGCAGAGCGTCCCCACTGCCACCACCCCTCCTGCGCAAGGAAATTTACAGTATGGCGTAAGAGAGGGCTTCTTGTGCAAGTGCTATGCTCTTTTTTCTCAGGTGTAAGCCCTCTTGTGCAGGAGCTCTTGTGCAAGAGGGCAGTGTGGATGCTGGGCAGGGATTTCTTGTGCAAGAAAGCCCTATGGCTAAAATGGTCATCAGAACTTTCTTGCGCAAGAGAGAGTCCACACTGCCATGGGTGCTCTTGCGCAAAAGCAGAGCTCGCACATGGCGGTGTGGACCTTTTGTTGCACAAGATGTTCTTGCGCAAGAAGCCGCCAGTGTAGACAAAGCCCAGCTGAGTTCCCTGCAAGAACTCCTGTTTACCTGAGTTGCCTCTTGCTGAATCTGTGGTATTCCTCCTGTTGAAGGAGTAAAGAGTACTAACCAAAGACATTTAGGCTATGTCTACACTCGCGGCTTCTTGTGCGAGTAATATGCAAATGAGGCTAAGCATGGAATATTGCCGAGCCTCATTTGCATACCTAATGAGCCACCGGTTTTTTTTCGGAAGGGGCTCTTGTGCAAGGAGCGTCTACACTGCCCCTTCTTGCGCAATGCGGTTACACCTATTACTTTTCAGGAAGAACGGCATTGCGCAAGAGGGTTTTTCTTGCGCAAGAAGCCGCAAGTGTAGACATAGCCTTAGTGTTTAAGTACCCACCCTTTTACATGCTCCCTCAGTGCCACAGCGATGGATGCACCAAGTGCAGGGCTAGTTGGCTGCCCTGCCTTGGGCAGCCAACAAATTTATGCTCACAGTGCAATATCCCTCTGAGGGAGGGATACCTCTGCTGAGTGAGCACAGGCCCCTCTCTGTCTCTAATGGGATAACATTGGCCTGACATTCCTCTAAATCAAACCACAGACCACCTGGTGCTGCATGGAGATTACAGACAGCAAATTGACTTGATATGTGGGGAGACTGTGTAGCCTGGAGTTTGGCAGAAATAAGAGCCTTAGCGGAAGGTCTTTATGGGGAGAGATGGGACAAGGAATCAGGGATGGAGGGGGGGTTTCAGCTCAACTTTTGCCAATGTTGATTTTGGAAGGAGAAGGACTGAGGAGTCCTGGGTGGTGCTGCCACAGGGTTTGCAAGTGGCAGGATTGTGGCTGAAGCTGGGGCCGGTCTCTCTATGTGAGAAGTTCCAGCCCATTTGCGCACTGGAGATTTCAGATTGGCTGCCTCCCGCCCATTGCCCAATCTCCTGCAGCAGAGCAGCCAGTCAGAGCTGCTGCAGGCAGTGCTCCTCCTTTCCCCTCCACCAGTAACTCAAATGTTCTCAGAGGAGGCAGAAAGAGACCAACGAGCCAGGTCCCTCTGAGCAATGGGGACAGCACCTCTGGTACCTCCCTACTACTAGCTGGCCTAGGAGGTGAAGAGCCCTTGCCTATGCCCCAGGCCCAGGAGAGGGGGGTGAACCACAAGAAGTGCACAGGTGAGGCTGGGAAATGGGGGATGTGAGCTAATGGGGGTGGAATTAATTATTGGGCAGGAGGTGGGTTAGATGGGCCAGAGAAACCCCTGCACAAGGGCCAGACTCTCATGTCCCAGTACATTTGGGAGAGTGGGCAACACTAATTGTCCCACACAGACTTGGGCTAGGCAGGAGGTGGTTGACAATCAGAAATCACAACACTGGATGCTTTTTATTTCTTTAAAAAACATCTGGGGTCAGGCAGAGAGAGGATGGGGGGCAGGTTAAGGGTTAACTAGAGCTGGAGGATAAAGGGCAAAGCAGCTAGTGTCTGAGTACAGAAGCAACTGGCTTTTATTATTTCCAGAGCGCGATGTGCAGAGACAGAGGTTTTAGAACAGGTAGTAAGTAAAGCAAGCGCATAAGCCAAGCAGAGCCCTGGCTGAGAGCTTGCAGCCTGAACGAAGTACAGCTGCTTGTAAGTGTTATGCCTCTGATCTCATGGCATGTGTGGGAGGAGAGAGTGCCTTGCATCACACAGGCAGTGGCACAGTTCTCCCTCTGATCTACCCCCATGCTCCCTGGACACAAAGTGGTAACAGAAAGACCATTAGGTCCCAGTAGGAGTGGGTGGGACTCTGCTTGATCTGGAGTGGTGAGCAAAAGGGCAAGAAGTAGATTCCACAGAAGAGCTTTGAACTCCCACCAACCCCAGTCTCAGACTGCATCCTTGGGATCTAAATATGGGAGCCTCCATCCTTCATTGGCTGTCCTAGGTGTAACGGTTCTCCCCTCCCCTTGTATTCTCCACTGACTCCTCGTGTGATTGCATGTGGGGCTTGCACTCAGTCATGGCACTGGCCTCCGGGTTTGTGATCTGTGGAGCCAAGCTTTGGTATTGTCGGTGGGCGCTGGCTGCTGCTGAGACCTCCCAGATGCATGACAGCCTTTTGCAGTTGCTCTGCCTTCCCATAGCGAGGAAATGCAACATCCTGTTAGGTTGCAATGCATCTCCATGTTACATTTCACTTAGCTAGCAATCCCTGCCCAGTGCTCAAGGCCCCTGACCAATGCTGGGGCTCTGTATGGCTACGGTCTGCCCTGCTGATCCACTTCCTCAAGCCAGCAGGGACAGGAGTGCTGCGTGCAGAGTCTCTGCTAGGTCCTCTCTGGTTTGCCAAGGGCTCTGGCAAGAGTATTCCAGCACAGAATTGTGGTCACTGTAATAAAACGGTGGGGGAGAGGGAAGGTGGCAAGGCTCTGCCTGGTTTGTAAAGACAAGCCCTGTCCCAGGAGAAAATGGCTGTTTGGGTTGAAAGCTGAGAACTCCTCTCAAGGGCTAAACAGAAAACAGCCAAAAAATTAGCTAGCAACACGAAGCTGAGCAAAGGCAGCTTTTCAGGCCTCCCCAGGCAGCCAGCAGACTGAGGGTCTGGGAAATGAAAACCAGAAAGTCTCCTTGAGAGAGCAGAGAACAGGTGTTCGATAAATACAACGCCGCCGGCCTGTGTGTCCCTTTAAGAGCTTAGCTGGCTCTGTGCCCATCCCTCCTCTCTGCAAAGCATAGCTCTGTCCTAGCTGCCTCTCACACTGCTGTTTGATTTCCTTCTCTGCCTCAGCTGCTCTTGGCCTAGCAGGATGGCAGCTCAAGGCCCCCAGAAGCTGGAGGAGAAGCTGGTCTGCTCCATCTGCCTGGAGATGTTTGGGACACCAGTGACCATGCCCTGTGGGCACAACTTCTGCATGAAGTGTATCAACAACCACTGGGACAAGGAAGAGATGACAACTGCTCCGGGCGAGAAGGTTTGCACCTGTCCCGACTGCAGGAAATGCTTTGGGCAGCGGCTGGAGCTCAGCAAGAACGTTGCCCTTTGCGGCGTGGTAGAGCTGGTCAGGTCTGGCGAAGAGCAGGCCTCCAGCGTTGAGAGGAAATCCCCCGTCAATGGGGGCAGGTGCTCCAGGCACGGGCGGCCCCTGGAGCTCTACTGCCAAGAGGAAAAGCTGTGCATCTGCTGCGTGTGCACGGTGAAGGAGTGCCGGGACCACCGCAGGGTCCTGGTCGAGGAGGAGCGCAGGAGAAAGGAGGTAGGGTTGGGCTGGGTCTCCCCTGTGAGCTGCAGGGCCCTAACTCAGGGATGTAAAAGTTTAAAAAACAACACTAACCCTGTAACCAAACAAAATTCAATGGGAAAACCTACCAGGGGCTCTTGGTGGCTGCCAGCCCTGCGGTCTCTCGGCAGCGGCCAGGAGTTTAACTGCTACGGTTAACCTGAGACTCAGCAGAACTAGCAGATGTTGCAGCATATTTGAACACTCAATAGTTAATAGTGTTGTGTGGCTGTCTGGTAACCAGCTCCCGGATTTCCTGCCTGCCTTCTGTGTGCGCGCAGCCATTCCAGAGCGGGACCCAGTAGGCATTATGACATGCACAGCCCTGCTCCTCCCACAGCTGCTTGAGAAGGCGACAGACACCCTTCCTCTGATGATTATTTAGGGCTAGCTGGGAAGTTGCCTGTGAGGGGGAAACTATAACCGGAGAGACCCAGCCTTGCAGTGCGAGAGAGAGAGGTGGAAAGACAGTGTCTGCTTCCTGTTGCCTGTGCTGCCTTTTAGCAGCCCAGTGCTGTCGCCTGCAGCCAGCATCCAAGCTGAGCAATTCCTCAATGCCTTTGTGGTGGAGCAAGACAGATTTGCAGAAGGGAAATAAAAGGCTTTCCATGTGAGGTAGCTCTCTCCAGAGACCTGTATTCTGTTCCCACGTGACCCAGGACAATGCCCTTTCCCCTCCATCCCAGTTTCCCCTGCTATGAAATGAGGGTGCTAATATGTACCATCCTTTGTAGGGTGCTTTGAATCCTACACATGCAAAGAGCCGCATAAGAACTAGCCATTGCAGAAGGGAAATAAAAGGCTTTCCATGTGAGGTAGCTCTCTCCAGAGACCTGTATTCTGTTCCCACGTGACCCAGGACAATGCCCTTTCCCCTCCATCCCAGTTTCCCCTGCTATGAAATGAGGGTGCTAATATGTACCATCCTTTGTAGGGTGCTTTGAATCCTACACATGCAAAGAGCCGCATAAGAACTAGCCATATTACTCAGGAAGGTGGAAGAAAGTGGGATGTGAAAGCATGTGGGACACCATGAGGGTGTATACCCCCCTGAATTTCCCCAACATCCCCCCAGTTTTGTGAACTATGGTGCCATACAGCTCACCTTCACCCTCACGGTCTCACCCCCCTCCCCTCAATTTCAATTCCTGGGGAGGCTACTGCTGTGGGAGCTTTTTCGGGGGTGGGGGGAGCTGAGGCAGGTATATGGCTATTTGCAAAGGAGTGATATGTTGTCAAAATGCTGGGGGTGTTCAGGGTGGCAGTGACACGAGTACCCCGAGCAAAGTGATGGACAGCAAGGAGGCGGGGTTACTGGCCCTGCGCTGGTGAATGAGGAAAGATTGCTGTACTGCTGGGTTATTAGGTGGTTATCTGGCAAGCAGTCCAGTAAGTCTAGTGCTTGCCAGGTAACCGGTTAAACAGTTAACCGTTCACAGCCTTATTGTGAACAGGCCCCACACACGCTTGGTAGACACCGCTGCTAGTTGTTAACTTCACAGATTCTCTCTGGCAAGCGCGGGCCTCGTCCTGCCAGGCTGGGAACTAGAGAGCAAAAGGCTGGGAGATGTTTTAAAAGCCCCTCTTTGGAGGAGAGGAGTCAGGTTACTATAAGAAGTCACTGACTCAAATAGCTATTCCCTCCCTCACCCCATCTTCTGCACTAAATCTGATCTGTCAGTTTTAGCACGTGTTCACTTTTTCCATTGTATTCCGTTGGTATATATCGTCATGCCAATTCTCTTCCAGAATATGATCTGAGGAAGTGGGTCTGGCCAGGAAAGCTCATCACCTATTAAACCATCTTGTTAGTCTTAAAAGTGCTACATAGTTTTTCCTTTTGTTTTAGAAAGATCAGACTAACACGGCTACCTCTCTCTTACTATTTGTGACGGGTTTGTTGGGTGTGAGCGCCCCCTCCCGGGTGGGCAGGGGGCTTCAGCGGACCCACCGTCTGGATCCGGGGTCGTGGGTCCCGGAATCCGACCTCTTCGCAGGGGTCCGTGGGTGCGATCACCCATCGCCGCCCGGCAACAGGGTTCTGGGAACCCACCTTTACGACCCTGGTAAGGGTCTCAGGGTCCTGTCCTTGGTATAGGTTTGGGGGGGGATTAACCCCCCAATACCGGTCCTGGGGTCCTATCCCCAGATGCCCAGCTGGCAAGGGCAACACCCGCTAGGGTCCAACTTGGGGGGGCCGCACCCATCCGGAAACCCCAGAGGGGCGGGGGGCCTCCCTCTCCACCGAGTCCCAGCCCGGGGCCCTAAGTGGAGGGATTAGCGCATTCCCTCCATGACAGGCGGGGTCAATCCCCAAAACTCGCCTGTCCACGGCCGCCAGAGGCAGACTGCCCCGGGCTCCTTCCACTCCCCATCCAGCGCCAACCCCCCTGCAGACCCGACCGGGGCACTCACCACGTCCGGTGCCTCGGCCCCGTCCTGCTGGTGCCCGAGGGGCCACTGCACTGCTCCTACGTCCCTCCAGCGGGGCGGGATGTCTTTCCTCCTGCATGGGGGTCAGAGGCTCCTTCCCCGGCCCCTCTGAGTCGACTCACCCAGCTGCTTTTCAAGCGGCCCGGGGGCGGACGTCCCGGGACGGTGCCCCGCCCTCTCAGCGTCGCTCCGCGGTGCGCCGTCGGGTTGCAGGGCCATAGCCCTGCCCCCCGGGTGGTCCAGCATTCGCCGGTTCCGCCACTCTCCCAGCCTCACACCGGGGAGTGTCGGCATGGGGTGGCCCCGCCCCCGATGCAGCCGGGCGGCGTCACGCTCCCACTCCTCCCCAACTCCGCTGAGCCGGTGAGCGGGGCCTCCGCAGCCGGGCACGGCCCCAGCCTGTCTTTTCCGCATCAGAGGGGGCGATCCCCCCCTTCGGGAGTGCGGGCCCCCGTGGGTCCGTCTCACTATTCAACAAACAATACATTTACACAATTACAGCGTGGGACAAAGGGGTACTTCTAGTCGCTTTAACAAAGTTACAAAGTCTTTCAACATTAAACTTCTTTCTATCTATTACAAGACCTTGCCTAATATTAACCTCACTGTATTACACTAGTCCATCCCTTTGCTTTAACATCAGAACATGCTAACATCAAACAGATCTGGAGCTAAGTTAACAAAGCTGCCTGGCCTGTCTGAGGCCTACATCTTGTATTTAAGTTTAATCCAAACCTTTTGCTATAACATACGTTCATTATAACTAACTAACTTTTTACCTACGAAATTACAAGGCTACACTTCGCGCAAGGCTTCCAGGCTGCTCTGTAGCCTTTTGAGATCTTTTTTCTCTTAAATATTTGTAGTTTCCTGTTGGTTACTCTGCTGACCACTGTCTGTGCTCTCAGAGGGAACTGAGCTGCAGGCTCTGAGCCAAGTCCTGGTTGATCACAGGGGACAGGAGCGCAGGGCCTGGTCTGAGAGTGTGAGAAAGATGTGATTCCACCGGGTGGCAGGCCCACAGAGAGATCAGAGGGGCAGCTTGCCCAGCCCCTGGACACGGAGTACTGTAACACATTGCGCTTTGGGATCCGGCCTCTCTCACAGGTCCTGTTAGAAGAGTCTCTGGTGAAAACCCAGGAGGAGGCTGTGAAGAGCAAGGAGGAGATGCACAAACTGGAGGAGCAAACAGACACCATAAAGGTAATAAGACTAGCACAGTCCCCCTCCCCACAGCTGGGAGTGCAGGGGGCTGGCACCAAGTGCTGCTGCCTCTGGACACAGCTGGGGGAAGCCACCCAACTGCTGCCATGTCAGTTCTTTGTCTCATTGTCCTCATTGATGTTTTTTCCATTCAGGAGTCTTCAGAGTTGCTGAAGTCGGGGATTTTGCAGAAGTTTGCCCACCTGCTAAAAGCCCTGGAGGAAAGCCAAAGGACGGCCGTGGACAAGATAGAGCAAGAGCAGGCCACTGCCCTAGGACAAGTGGCAGAGAACTGGAGCCACCTGCAGGACCATCTGGCCATGCTCACCCAGCACCAGCAAAAGGCCCAGGAGCTGCTGACCTGTGGAGATGATATGAAGTTCCTAGAGGTACTGGTGCCCACTCAGCCATGCCTGGAGAGAGCTGTGACCACCCTGTACTCTGTGGTCAGTGGCCAGGCCACTTGTATGCTGAAGTCAGTTTCGCTTTGCACATAATGCCCTGTGCACACAGTCTCAAAGCCAGCAAGAGAGCTTCAGGTGTATGGAGGGTTGGTCCAGCAATGGCCCAGATGGTCAGGGATGCAATAGAGATATCAAATCCCATTTATTTAGTGAACTGGTCAAACGGGAAATTGTGGGAGGGGCTGGAGTGCCCCCCACTCACAGTGGGCCCCATGGGGCTGGCATGTAGGCAGACCCAGTGCAACACCATGCCACCAACTGTGGTTGATGCCCCGTCAGCTTTGCTGCAGCTGCTCCTGGGAAACACCTTGCAGGAAGATGGGGCACCTGAGCACCCCCTTGAGGACTGCATGAGTCACTGAGGCATGCAAATTACGTATCTAAGGCAGGAGTGGGCTAGATTTGGCCTGCCCATCTGCCTTATCCAGCCCACAGTCTGCCCCACCGAGACCCTCAGGCACAGAGCAGCCAGCTGCTTCATAGCAGCTGCATGCCACTTTAAGCAGCTGGCTGCTCCCTGTGGCTCTCTGCTCTGAGTGCTGGGGGAGACTTCACCCACTGCCCCCATCCCCTAGCAAAATCTCTCAGCTCCCGTTGGCCAGTTTTTGCAGAGGGGCAGGGGTAACACATGAAGCCTCCTGGTCCAGGCCTGTACGGGGTGTGGGGGGGGGGGGGGCTGAGCCATGGGAGGGGCTGGTGGCTGCCCTACCCCTGCACCCCAACCCTGCTTCCAGCTTTGCTCCCGGGAGGAAGAGTGGAAATCAGCCCCAGCTTTCAGTCAGCTGGAGCATGGGGGAGGGAGGCTGGAGCAACATGCGGCCCCAGCACTCACACCCTTCACATCTCCCTTCCATATGGGCCTGCCCTCCCCCTGGCACCCAGAGCAGAGAGCCACAGGGATCAGCCATCCATTTGAGCAGCCTGAGACTGGAGCCGCTTAGGTAAGCGCCTCCCAGCCAGAGCCTGCCTGCGGCACCCCATGCTCTCTGGCACCCCAACTCCCTGTCCCAAGTCACCACCCAAAACCTGTGCATCTCCCCCTCCTGCAGGTCACAACTCACTCCCAGACCCTGCAGCCCCTCCAAGTGCCCCTCCCCCAGGCCAGAATCCTTTCCTGCACCCAGTGCTTTTTTGTGACAGTACTGCCCAGTACGCAGTACCGGCACCTCCCGACGTAGTACCGGCACCTCTAGTCAGAGCTCAGCAATGTTTCCCTTGGAGTACCTTTACAAAAAAAGCACTGCCTGCTCCCAGATCTCCTCTGGACCCTGCACCCCAAGCCCCTACCCTAGATCACCACCCAAACCCTCTGCACTCCTCTCCCTCCAAGTCACAACTTGTTTCCAGACCCCCCTTCTTCACCCCTCCCTCAGGCCAGAATCCTCTCCTACAACCATATGCCCTCCTGGACCCCAAGCCTCTGCCCCAGGATCACAACCCCCTCCACACAAACTCCTTCTTAGTCGCCACACCCTCTCCTGCACCCCATTCTCCTACCTTGGCAGAGAACAATAGAATTAACCCAGTACGCAGTACCGGCACCTCCCGACGTAGTACCGGCACCTCTAGTCAGAGCTCAGCAATGTTTCCCTTGGAGTACCTTTACAAAAAAAGCACTGCCTGCTCCCAGATCTCCTCTGGACCCTGCACCCCAAGCCCCTACCCTAGATCACCACCCAAACCCTCTGCACTCCTCTCCCTCCAAGTCACAACTTGTTTCCAGACCCCCCTTCTTCACCCCTCCCTCAGGCCAGAATCCTCTCCTACAACCATATGCCCTCCTGGACCCCAAGCCTCTGCCCCAGGATCACACCCCCCTCCACACAAACTCCTTCTTAGTCGCCACACCCTCTCCTGCACCCCATTCTCCTACCTTGCGCTCCCTTCTGCACCCAACCTCTGCCCCAGATGCAAGCGCCTCCCAGCCAGAGCCTGCCTGCGGCACCCCATGCTCTCTGGCACCCCAACTCCCTGTCCCAAGTCACCACCCAAAACCTGTGCATCTCCCCCTCCTGCAGGTCACAACTCACTCCCAGACCCTGCAGCCCCTCCAAGTGCCCCTCCCCCAGGCCAGAATCCTTTCCTGCACCCAGTGCTTTTTTGTGACAGTACTGCCCAGTACGCAGTACCGGCACCTCCCGACGTAGTACCGGCACCTCTAGTCAGAGCTCAGCAATGTTTCCCTTGGAGTACCTTTACAAAAAAAGCACTGCCTGCTCCCAGATCTCCTCTGGACCCTGCACCCCAAGCCCCTACCCTAGATCACCACCCAAACCCTCTGCACTCCTCTCCCTCCAAGTCACAACTTGTTTCCAGACCCCCCTTCTTCACCCCTCCCTCAGGCCAGAATCCTCTCCTACAACCATATGCCCTCCTGGACCCCAAGCCTCTGCCCCAGGATCACAACCCCCTCCACACAAACTCCTTCTTAGTCGCCACACCCTCTCCTGCACCCCATTCTCCTACCTTGCGCTCCCTTCTGCACCCAACCTCTGCCCCAGATGCCACACCCCCTCCATAGAAAAGTGCAGCCCTTGACCACTTACCAAAATCTTGGAGTGACCCCCCCCCAATACAAAATTATCACTCACGTCGGAGCTAAGGCTTGTCTACATTTAAACTTCTAAAGTGCCTGAAACTGAAAGTGTGGCCATGGCACGTGTGCGGGGAGAGCGCTCTCCTGGCGCTCCATGTAAGGCACCTCCGTGCGGGAGCAGCTCCCGGTGCTGTAGCCGGGTTCACACCGGGGCTTTACAGCGCAGAGACTTGCTGTGTTCCGGGGGAGGGGTTTTTCACACCCCCGAGCCAGAAAGTGACGGTGCTGTGAAGTGCCAGTGCAGACTCGCCTAGTTCTATCGAACGAACGAACCTGCCCTGGCTTGGGTGCAGTGTTCAGCCTGGGTCCCGCCAGCTCCAGAAGATCCAAAGGCCCGGGAGGGCAATGAAATGGTTAGAGGCCTGTGTGGGAGGGAAGGGGATTAGACTTTAGGGCTGTCGCTTTCGAACTGCTGGAAACTGGACACCCTGCACCACCCCTTCCCCAGGCCCTGCTGCTCCTCCCCCTTGTTCCTTGCTCTGCCCTCCCACCCACCCACTCACCTGCAGAGCTGGGCTGGGGGAAGCTGACATGGCGGGAGGGCAATGAAATGGTTAGAGGCCTGTGTGGGAGGGAAGGGGATTAGACTTTAGGGCTGTCGCTTTCGAACTGCTGGAAACTGGACACCCTGCACCACCCCTTCCCCAGGCCCTGCTGCTCCTCCCCCTTGTTCCTTGCTCTGCCCTCCCACCCACCCACTCACCTGCAGAGCTGGGCTGGGGGAAGCTGACATGGAGCCTGCCCAGTGGAGGGGCAAGGGAGTCAGTTCCCAAAGCAAGGGGCTGAGGACCAGGTTGAGCAGGGCAGACAAGATCACACTCTCTCCCCTCCCCCCCCACACCCCTTTCTGCCAGAGGCTGGAGCCATCTGGGAGCCCCCCAGCCTCTTCTCTCCATGAGGTGCTCTGCCAGACTCCCGCTACAGCTGGCTGTCTCACATGTGGGGGCCAGTTACTGCAGGTGACCAGACACTAACGGGGTCCATTTTCAACTGGACTTTCCTGTCAAAAACCAGACCCTGGCCACCATAATTAGACTGTTCGGCCCCCATGCTACTCTGTCATGGCCCCTCTACCAAGGACCATCGCCCATTCCGACAGCGACAGGCAGAGTGTGCGGCTGAACACAGCTGAGCTACAGGCAGCCATTCAGCGCCATGGAGTACCAGGGCTATGGTGAATCCCCGAGCCGAGGAGGAAGCAGATGAAGTAGTCGGGGGACGTGATGACTGTGCCTTCCCCTTTACAGAGGGGTGGGGGTTTCTGAGCTGCTGTGCCGCTGAGCCTCAGACAGGAATGC